GATTAAATTCGAAAGATGCATATTAATATGTATTATAGTTTTCGAGAAACTCAATAAAATGTAAAAACATTGCTTTTTCGAGCATTTTTTAAAAATTCAATTAAAAATTAATTTTAAAAATCCCGCGCTTTTACTGTTTGTTTTTGACAGTATTTTTGAAAAGCGGCGTATTCTTTGACAGAAACGTTGATCCCGGTCCAACTGATTTCTTTTGTCTTTTTCAGTTGCTTTTTATTCGATTTGTTCATAATTTTTGTTTGTGCAATACACGGAAATAAATAAGTTTGCCATGTCGACTTCAGAAGAAGGTAAAAAAGCAAACAAAAGTTTTAATGTACAATTAACATTTTTATTTGAAATTGTCCTTTAGATGTTAGCAATTCAAGTGAATCAGGTTCAGATGACAGTGAGTACACTTTTACTGGTTAAGTATGCAAGTTTTGACTTTAACTTCTGCAGGTTTCATAGATGATGGCAGCAGCGAGGAGGAAAGTGAGCAAGGTTCGAGTGATGGCAGTGACGGAGTTCCTATTAGAGTTTCAAAGGTGAAGAAGAAAACCAGGACTAGGATCATAGATTCAGATGAGGCGGAGGAGGATGAGCGGGAAGATCTGAGTGAGTAGTACTTATTTCAACTGTATTCAATTGTTCAGCTGTTTTCAAACAATTGCAGATAATAGCCAAAAATCTAGTGGTGATGTTACCCAAAACAGGACTGGTGAGAGTAGTAGAATAATGGAGAGTGATGCAAGCGCAGGACAGAGTATGATTGTTGCATCTAATTCAAAAAAAGGGAAGAGCAAGAAGAAAGTGATTGATTCTGATGAAGAGGAAGAATCAGCTATATTTGAGGACAGTAATCCTATTAAAACAAGAACCGGAAGAAATGTACTTGATTCAGATGAAGAGGAAACTGAAATGTTTGCTAGTAGTAGTTCAATGAACACATCTAGTCCAATTAACGCGAGCAGCAAGAAACCTGTTGATTCTGAAGGAGAAGAGACACAAATGTTGAGCGGAAATAGTAATGTAAATGATTGTTCCGATGGGGCTGTCATTGAAGATAGCACAGAGATTAAAAATAATCAAGAAAGTGTTAGTTCGAAAAGTGTGAATCATAGTAAATCAGTGAATAAGTCAAATTCCAGTGGAAAGGGAAAACCCGAGTATTTTCAGTCACATGAATCTCAGGAGGAAGATGATAGTGAAGCGAGTTTGCATACGATTGAAGACAAGGAATCTCCAATAAAAGGTAATTGATAATCCTATTGAAAATTAGTGTAATTGGATTTTTATTGTTTGCAGAACCGACTTCGCCGTTTAATCCGAGAACGACGCACAGGAGCACTGCTTTCGGGGATTTAAGGAATTTCGGAACACCTCAGCGAAAACCGCCTTTGGTGGTCGACTTCCATACACCAAGGGGACAGCCAAAGTCGCCAGATCAAAGCCGGAGTCCTAGTCCCAGTTCCAGCGTGGAAATTATCGAAGCCAGCGAGGAGGAAATTATAATTAGTGATGATGATCAAGTGAATATCATACATTTTTTGCTAGACAAATTGATTTACTAAACATATTGGTTTTTTTCAGGCCGTCGGCCCTTCGAATAAGGAGAACCACATGCCGTTTGTGGTTAAAGTGGAGAAGCCTAGTAAAGTGTCGGTGAATCGAGCTGAATATCAGGTTCAGAAAGAGAAAGTTAGCAAAATGATGGCGGATGTCTTAAGGAATAAGGTATGAATAAGGTGTTACCACATGTATTTGTTATTGATTATTGGATTTGTAGAACGTCTTGAAAACATTGAATCTGAATTCGTTGCCGGATAATGGACAATTGCTGAAACATCGTCAAGCGAATCTGGAGAAGATGTTGGCCGAGGCTGAGGATGAGCTCAAAAACATGGTCGTTGATAAACCAGGTGAGATTAATTGGTTTTGTTTGCAAGGTTTTTTTTTTATAATTTTGCAAAATTTTAGAACCTGCTCCTATACAGACCATGGCGAAACCGTCTTCGTGGCAGGAGTTGGATAAATTCTCGGGTGCCGTCCAGCCGAGGACTTTCGGTAAGCAAGCCATGGCCACGTACAATCAGCAAAAGGCTCTGACCATGGACCGTCTGAAACAGCTGCACGGTTCGCTGAAGAACTGCCCAAGCGAGGATAATTTCGAGGAGGATCCCAGAGGTCTCCTTGTAGAGCTGATGCCGCATCAGAAGCACGCGCTCGGCTGGTTGATGTGGCGCGAGCGGCAGAAGCCGTCCGGCGGCATATTGGCAGATGACATGGGTTTGGGAAAAACGCTGACGATGATTTCATTGATGTTGAAATTCATGCAGACAAATAAGGAGAATGAAGCCGATGACGAGGGTGATGCAGAAAACGGCGAGGAACATGATGACGAGGAGGAGGACGAGGGTAGTCGCAAGAAGTACAAGTACGATGGCGGAACGTTGATCGTGTGTCCGGCCAGTTTGATTGGTCAGTGGGCGGGGGAAGTTGAGAAACGCCTGAAGAGGGCGTTGCTCTCGGTGGAGCGGTACCATGGCGCCAATCGCGAGAAGAAGGCTAAAACGTAATCCGTCGCATCCGTGACTTCTGCAAACGATGTAATTAATTGAAATTGTTTAGCCTATCGCAGTACGACATGGTAATCACTACCTATTCCATTGTAATGAACGAGGCCGAGAAGCAGACGCCGTTGAATCGCATCAAGTGGCGCCGCATCATCTTGGACGAGGCCCACCAGATCCGTAATCACAAGTCGCAAACCTCGATGGCCGTCTGCAAACTCGGCGCTAAATCCAGATGGGCCTTAACCGGAACGCCCATACACAACAAGGAATTGGATCTGTATTCGCTGCTGAAGTTCATCAGGGTCTCCCCGTTCGATGATTTTGTGGTAAGCTCAAACCAAAAAAATAGCATTTAAAATGAATGAATCAATGTTATTTTTGCATCGCAGGTCTTCAAACGGTGGGTGTCGGATAAGAACGCCGGAGGACAGGAACGTCTTAATACCGTGATGTCCTCTTTGATGTTGCGCCGAACGAAAGCCCAGCTGCAGACGAAGGGCTCACTCAAGTGCCTTCCCGAACGTCAATGGGACCTGATCAAGATCACTCTTGATAAGGAGGAGATGGACGTGTATCAGAAAGTATTGATATTTTCGAGGACGCTGTTCTCGCAATTCCTGCATCAGCGCGCCGAGAAAGATCAGAACTTCGCTGCCGAAAATCCCACTTTTACAACTAAACGTAAGTACATGGAAAGAATGTCGTGTTAGAATTGGAAAAATGTTTATTTTATGCAGACGATCCAAATGGCGAATATTCGAAAATGCACAGGAAATTGCTGCAGATGAACCGCGTGAAAGAAGTGAAGCAGCACGAAATTTTGGTGCTTCTACTGCGACTCCGTCAAATCTGCTGTCATCCATCTCTTATCAACGATGTAAGTCGTATAACACATTTGAAATTTGTGAAAGTGTTTTAATCTATTATAAAAAAATTCCAGATGTTGAATTCCACTGAAATGGATGTAGGTGACGATGTGAACGACAACGAAGAGCTGGCCATCAATATCCTGGATCAGTTGAACAAATTGAATTTGAACGATGACGATAAGGAGGACTACAATCCTGCACAGGGAATCTCCAATGAGGGAGTGACTTTGCGCGAAGCGACGCGCGGCGTCCTCAATCCTAACCATCCGATCTTCACGAAGACGCGACGCAGTTCGAAGCTGCAGAAGGTCATCAATATTTTAAAGGAGAACGTGCTGGACAACGACGACAAGGCGATCATCGTCTCTCAGTGGACGGGATTGCTGAACCTGTTGGCGACCCACTTGTCCGAAGAAGGCATCTCCTACGATCAGCTGGACGGTAAAATTCCTGTTCACAAGAGACCCGCCATCATCGACAACATTAACAATCCGAAATCGAAAACCAAGGTATAACTTTTATCAATCGAAACTATATTTTAGTTTGATCGATTACTTCTTTTAGGTGCTATTATTATCGTTAACTGCTGGCGGAGTCGGCCTCAATTTGGTCGGGGCCAATCATCTGTTCCTGCTCGATTTGCATTGGAATCCTCAGCTGGAAATGCAAGCTCAGGACCGGATATACCGAGTGGGTCAGAAGAAAACTGTTCACGTTTACAAGTACTTACAAATCTACGTGCATTTTAGGTATAAAGAAAATTAATACGATTTTTGTCGTCGTTGTAGATTTATGACTGCGGATACAATCGAAGAACGAATCAAGAAACTGCAGGATCACAAGATGAACATCGCGGAGGCTATGCTCACCGGTGCCAAGATACAACAATCGAAATTGAGCTTGGACGATCTGAAAATGTTATTCAACATGTAATTTAATCATTTCCTCAAACCAATCATTTAATAATAATAATATTTTTATATTTCTATATTAGTACAGTGAATATCTTTATGTTTTTATAAATCACCCTGTATATATATATGCATTTCCGTTTTTATTTTGGTATGCAACCAAACTTCCTTTTGCGTGACAGTTTGTTTTTCAAAACAGTTTATAAACGTAACCTGGAATTAATTTCTTTCTGTGTTAATGTTTGTTGTGCACGATCATGGATTTGAAGCTGGTGAAGAGGGATCTGCTGAAAGGGATTAGAGAGTGCAGCGAACGTGGTCTGCATTTCAGTGTGAAATGGTTGGCCGAGTTGAACTACGCAATAAAACATGTGAAACTCGATGCGGCCGATTACGCCGTGGATTCCGGCCTCCTGGATGATGATCTGGATAATTACACTTTGGCCAAGAGTTACTTTGATATTAAGGAGTACGATAGATCTGCATACTTTGTGAGGGATTGCAGCCAGCCGAAATGTAGATTTATTTATTTCTATGCGAGCTACCTGAGCATAGAGAAGAAGAAGCTGGATAGCATGACCGATAAGAATTGTCCGCCGGATCAGAGAAAGAATCAGGCTTTGAAGGATTTGTGCGCTCTGATTAAGCAGGACTACTACGAGAGGAAACTGGACGGGTATTGCTTGTATTTGTATGGGGTTATACTGAAGAAGTTAGATCTCACCTCGTTGGCAATTGATGTCTTTGTCGAGTCTATAGCTGTAGCCCCATTGCTCTGGAGCTCCTGGCTGGAACTGGCACTGCTTATCCCAAGCAAAAACAAATTGAATTCCTTGATACTGCCAGATCACTGGATCAAGCAGTTTTTCCTAGCTTACGTTTACTTGGAGCAGCTGAACAATGACGAGGCTTTGGATATTTGCACCAGGTTGCAAGTTGAAGGTTTCGAGAACAGCACCTTCATTAAAGCACAGACTGCTATTGTATATCATAACAAAAGAGGTAATTTTCATTTTATACCTCTTTTTGTATGGATTAATAATGTTATATTTCAGATTTGAACAAGGCTATTGAAACTTACCAAGATTTGCTGGCGGAGGATCCCTACAGATTGGACAATATGGATACGTACTCGAACGTGCTGTACGTGAACGAGATGAAGAGCGAATTGGCGGATTTAGCGCAATCCGCTGTATCCATAGACAAGTACAGGGTGGAAACGTGTTGCGTGATAGGTATGATCATTTCGAGAATGCGTTGAATACATGATGAGGGAATGATGTTTAGGTAATTATTACAGCTTGAGGTCGGATCATGGGAAGGCCGTGCTGTACTTCCAGCGGGCGCTGAAGCTGAACCCTCATTACCTTTCGGCGTGGACGCTCATCGGGCACGAGTTCATGGAGATGAAGAACACGAACGCCGCGATACACAGCTACAGGAGGGCAATTGGTGAGGACTCTCAAAAAACATCAGCAGTTGCTTTTACTTTTGCGTTTTCAGAGATAAATAGACGGGATTACAGGGCTTGGTACGGCTTGGGGCAAACGTACGAAATCCTGAAGATGCCTTGCTACAGCTTGCATTATTATAAGCAGTCGCAGCAGCTGAGACCCAACGACAGTCGCATGCTGATCGCTCTTGGAGAGACGTACGAACGGCTGGAGAAGATCGAGAATGCACTGAAATGTTACTTCAAGGCTTGCCACGTCGGTGACATCGAAGGTATAGCTATAGTGAAGCTGGCGAAACTGTACGACCGTTTGAGTCTGGTGGATAACGCTGCCGCCGCCTACACGGAATACTGCCTCAAAGAGAACGAAACTAAAGGTTCGGGTTACGACGATCACATGGAGTTCTACAGCGCCTTCCAATACCTCGCCAATTACCATCTGAAGAAGGGTCAGCTGGATGACGCATACACCTACGCTTACAAATGCTTGGAAAACGAAGAAGTAAGCGCATCAGTATACACAAACTAAGTTTTGGTTTAACGATTCTCTCTTCCAGACTAAGGAGCAAGCGAAGGCGTTGTTGAAGAGCATAGCGGCGAGAAGAGGAGAGCCAGAAGTGGAGACTGTTCCCATGGATGAGACCGGAAACACTTCCGTCAAAAACGATACGAACATGAGTACAATGGACATGATATTATCACCTCCATATTAGTTTTTTTGTCAGTTTACGGGTGATAATAATTTTAGCCGATTTCTCCGGCATAAATACATGTAGCAATAGGAAACAATCAAATTTTCTTTACCTTTGAAATTCAATTTGTATCGTTTAAACTTTCTAAATAGAATAATTATTTTTTTAAAAATTCTTACACTAAATCACTGGTTTCCAAACTTGATGTTACTACGCCTCACTCAAAAGTATGTAATCATTTGGCGCCTCCCCACACCCCTCCATTTCATAAAAGGAATGCGTATTACAGCAATATGGATAAGAGCACAGGAATGTATCTATACTTGCTGGATTTCCCAAACATTCAGCTTTCATATGCATATATTGGATTTATTCTATCTATTATAGTTTTCGAGTAAATCAATGAAATGTAAAAACACTTGTTATTGGAGCATTTTTTCAACTTTGAACGCGTATTACAGCAATATGGATAAGAGCACAGAAATGTATCTATACTTTCTGGATTCCCAAAACATTCAGCTTTCATATGCATATATTGGATTCATTCCATCTATTATAGTTTTCGAGTAAATCAATGAAATGTGTAAACACTGCTTTTTCGAACGTTCTCATTTCAATTTTTCAACTTTGAACGCGTATTACAGCAGTATGGATAAGAGCACAGGAATGTATCTATACTTTCTGGATTCCCCAAACATTCAGTTTTCATATGCATATATCCGATTCATTCTATCATAGTTTTCTAGTAAATCAATGAAATGTAAAAACACTGCTTATTCGAGCATTTTTTCAACTTTGAACGCGTATTACAGCAATATGGATAAGATCACAGGAATGTATCTATACTTGCTGGATTCCCAAAACATTCAGCTTTCATATGCATATATTGGATTTATTCCATCTCTTATAGTTTTCGAGTAAATCAATTAAATGTGAAAACACTGCTTTTTCGAACGTTCTAATTTCAATTTTTTACTTTGAACGCGTATTACAGCAATATGGATAAGAGCACAGGAATGTATCTATACTTTAGCAGATATTTGCACACTGATACTAATATTCGCGCCTCCTCTTATACTAGTCCACGCCTCCCCAGGGATGCGCGCCTCACAGTTAGGAAAACGCTGCACTAAATTATTTATAAATTTATTGAATGATGATGATAGATTGTTGTAATGTGTGTATGATCATTCGGTGTTTCAGTTGCTATGGAAACTGATAGGATGTATCGGTTTTGGGTTTGACGCGCGTCCCCCCAAATTGTTAAGTATTCATGTTTGAGCGATTGTCATCAAAATTGTGCGGTGTTCGATGGGATTGGAGAGCAGAATGGACGAGGAGGTGGAGTGCAAGCACATCGAGGAGATCATCGACGCGCGTAAGAGGAGCGGCCAATACGACGCGCTGATTGGCGGCGGTGGAGGCGGAGCGACGAAGGGTCCGAGCGCGAGGTACGCCTACTCGAAGCCCGCCTGTCCAATAGAGGAGGTCCGCAGAGGTTTCCCTTTTATTCCAATAGCCCAATACCAAACAAGTGAAATGAATTGCTTTTAAGATGAATTCGCAATGTACAACATCGAAGGCGACAATTTGAACGAAACGCGACCGACGGACTCCGAGATCACGCTGATCCGGGTGAAACGCGAGGGTTCGCAGTTGCGGACGCAGCTGCAGCACAACACCAATTGGGATATGCACGACAGGGCGGTGCCCGGCGACGGATCGCATCTGGGCGAGAGTCCGTCATTGGTGAATCTGGTGACGTTGGTGGTGCCCTCCAAGGAGATGCTGAAGACGCGCCGCGGGAGTCGCGAAGTTGAGTACATGGTGCCGCTGTCCTCGTGGGAACCTGCGGAACCGACGCTCGTCGAGTATCCGGAGGAGGAAAATGTCCGGACGGCCGGTAGCAGCTCGACCATCAAGGATCTCTTCAGGTGCTTCATCTTCTGGAGGCGGAACTCGGCCGCTCGAGCCAAGGAAGACGACGAAGAGTAATTTACGTTTGTAATTAGAAATTTTAATAAAATATTCGGATGTTGGGTAAGTAGTCTTTTCTGTACAGTAAAATGCACATTTTTCTAGCACCTCAACTCAATTTTTCAACTTTGAACACGAATTACAGCCAAGCGGTTAAAACCACAGTAATACAATATGGATAAGAGCACAGGAATGTATCTATACTTGCTGGATTCCCCAAACATTCAGCTTTCATATGCATATATTGGATTCATTCTATACTGATTATAGTT